ATGGCTGGCTGGGGAATTCTGGGAGTTGAAGTCCACTCATCTTAAAGTGGCCAAGTTTGGACAACATTGGCTTAGCGTGTTGTGTGAACCCAGCCAGCCCCACAGTGGCCAGGCCTGAACCGCAGGCAAGGAAATCCCAGGATTTAAGTTAAGGATGTGGCTGGTTAAGGCTGTAGCATGAGATTTATGACACCAACCGTATTGTATCCATACTGGGAGAACACACAAGCTGCTTTCTCCAACCTCTATGTACTTGGTAGAGGTTATTTCTTCCCCCAGTCATGAGGACTAGCAATTTGTGTTATTTAAGGGAAAAGAAGGCCAGGAGTCTCTGGATTCTTACACGCACATTCCTGACTGCCACACCTTGAAGTCTGATTTCTGATGTGCAAGATGAAACCTAGGAGGGCTCTGCTTACATAGGGTTTGATGTAGGGAGTTTGGTGTTTCTAAGAGTTCTCACGTGTCACCCGGGGAACTTCCCACTGTAAGACAAATCCAGCTGTCCACATTAAACCCGTTTCAGAAGATTGGCTCGCCAGCTGCCCCTCACCTCTGTTGTAGTGGCACCGACTCCTCCAAAGAGATTGTCTGCGACGCTGGGTTCATAGTAGGGAGCTTTGAGTGGGATACTTTCAGCCCCAGTGGGGTTAGGAACCTGGAATAAACCAGAGCGGTGGTGAAGACAGGATCACGCCTACGCTGCCAGGCTGTGGAAAACCTTCTTGCACCCCATTGCATGGCTTTTCCAAGGAGAGGGTTTTTTGGGGGTTCATCCAGACCCCTCACACTCAGTTGCAGGAATAAAAAGAAAAGCACGGCTATGGTTTGGCTGCCTTCTCTTTAGTCTTTCCATTTTCAAGGGTGGTTATTCCACTGCACCGCCCTAGCAGATGTGAAATGCTGGGAATAAGATTCGGTCTCCTGAGAATCCCAACTTTCCATCTAAACACACACACGCACACACACACACACAAGTTCCTAGCCCTTAAGAATGCCAAAAAAGGCCTCATCAGGGGGTAGACTTCATACCCTGAAATTTCGGAACCAAAGAAAACGTTTGGATAAGGTTTCCGGTGACTGGAAGCAGACTCTCCCTGCCCCACTGTGCCCTTTGCCGTGTTCCATAGGCTAAAAACAAGCACCTTATAAACACGGGTTGGGAAAACGTGTGGAATCCTTACCATGGGCTCATTTTGTCCCAAATATCCCTCTAGTGCAGAGTAGCAACAGCCCCAGTGGTTGCTTTATATTTAAAAAAAATGTTTTGCTTTGGACTTAAGTCACTGATTTCACTTTCGGCCTGGGCCTCCTTTGAACGCAGCCTTCGCCAACTCTTTGGCCCATGCTGAAGTGCCCCAGCGGGCACTGGGTTGGGGAAAGCAGATGCCTGCAGGAAGCAGGGCTGATACTTACCGGTTCCGTTTCTTCCGACAGTTGGCAAGGCGGTGGCGGCTTGTACGCTGGGGGTCCTTCCAAACTGCAGAGATGGCAAGAAACAGACCACATAAAGGCATTCAGCAATCTATTTTGCATTTAGGCACATGGCGACTGATGTGGCACAGTTGAGGCTGGATTGTTTGCTCTCACACAACAGAACTGGGGGGGGGGAGGCGCTGAGGCTTCCCAGATCTTGCCAAATTCCAACACCACGTCCTTCCAGAAGGCATGGAGATCCCGGAAGATCAAGCAACATCTGGCGAGCTTCTCCGTCATTTATTCAGGTTTTAGGTTTCTAGGCTGCCCTTCATTTGAGAGCTCCTTCCTCCTATTTTTCTTCACAACAACCCTGTGAGGTAGGATGAGACGGGAAAGGGCCTGGCTCAAAATCACCCAGGCGGCTTCTGTGGCTGAGAACCTGGGTCTCCCTGGTGGCAGACTGATGCCTTCATCACAGAGTCAGGGATGCCTGAAAAAGGGGGTGTGAGAACTGGGGGTTCCCAGGTCTCCCCCTTCCTGAGTATTTGACTGAAGGATGCAAGACTTGCCCCGCCTCCTTCTGGCCCCACCCACTTCTGTTTATTGCTGAAGCCCCACCCACTCATGCCACGCAGCTCTGGGGTTTATGCCCAGAGATGCAACCCTTGACTGAGCGAGGGCTGCCTGTTCCTGCTGCCAGGAAACTCAGGGGTGGGTGGGT